GCCGAGGGCAACCCCATGCCCAAGATTCGTTGGTCTCGAGAAGGGGGCGTCCTGTCTCTTATACACATCTACCATTGCTGGTTTGGAGCATGATCCAGCTCTAAAATTGCTTCATGGCTGCCTTATGTATGGGAAAGGATTTTATCGTAACGTACTAAACGAAGTCAAAAATTTTAAAATGTTAGCGAAATTTGATTGATGGGTTTCCGTTTGCCAATTTCTCAGACAGTTGACTGAAGCATCATGAGATCGTCCAGCAATATCCTTCTCATTGTTTGCATTTCGTTCGAAATGCTTGACTTGAAACCAAGAATCACTGGAATACAATGTAAATTGCTTTGTAAATATTGATAATTTATCTGCATTAATGTCATAATGTTAATATGAAAGTTTAATGAGCTAAGCTGCAAGCACTTATCTAGGCTACTTGCATGTGCGAGTTTTCATATTCATGATCCAAAATTCGAAGAACAATTTGAAAATTTGCATTAATTAAATTCTTTTAAACAAGTTAAAAATTTTCATGTTTCCTAAGTTTGTTAACTGTTACATGCTGAGGCTGAGCGTTAGCTCCAGAGCTTATTGAAGAGTTAAATTTGTGGCTCACAGCTACACCTCCGTTTGTCAGCGACAGCAAATCTTTTCTTGAAGCGTCATAAGCTGAAGCTGGCCTCGCTAACATCCACGACATAAGAGGCCATCTAATGTGTCCTCGCTGTCTTACATTGCCTAAGAAATCATCTAAGATGGCCTGACTGGCGGACACGGCCTAAGAGGCCATCTAATGTGTCCTCGCTGTCTTACATTGCCTTANAACGCATTACCAAGCAGTGCGGCAACTGGTCGCTCCAACGTTCAAGTATTTATAACTTCTTCCTTATAACCTGTTTCTCTATTCTTAGGTTTGTATGAATGTCTCTTAAATTTCGTTTTGTTCATGTTTTTTCTGTAGTAAATTTAATCATTTGATCTTTTGCGAATTTGGCCTTAGTTTAAGGCTTATAATTCTCAAAAATTAAATTCAAACTAAAAGCTTATATTTAAAAATTATTTAGGTCAATTCGACCAATTTATTAATGTTCTTCGCTCTAAAAGTGTAGTATTTTTCTACCGTCCTTGCAAAGATCATTTAAATAATGCTAAATCTTAAGTCTATATCCCAATTTGTAAAGAAGTTAAACCTAGCTTTTACTATCCTGTCTATTTTTCTCGTACAACCTTCCAACCCCTCTTACTGATGATTTCCACTGATTATTCTTCCCACAAAATTGTTCAATGTTTTACCGAGTATGTCAAGCAATTTTTATACATTATATATGATAACTTAACCTGTGCTAATTCTGACTTTGCTTGAATGAAATCCATTTCTTCTGCAGTATCCGGCCATCTCGCTCCAGAGTTTGACTGGCTTAACTTTTCTACGTCACAATGGCATCATCCCGTATGATTTAACCAGTCACGGACCTACAACGTTTTGCACATTCAATCCTCTGAAGTAGTTGAAGTTATTATTGCGCAAGGGAAATTCTAGTTAAGTGTAAACTTAGGTGCTAAGACAACCTCTAATGCTGGCAAAGTGAATAAATTATCTCTACAACAAACTTGAATTGTGAGAGTAACCTATATGAAGCTTGAATCAAAAGGGATACAGATTATTTAAACGCGGACTTGAATTCAATTTACGAAGGGCATTTTTTGGTTGAAAATCCTTGCCGAGTGAGAAGCCTTGGCCACCGCGCAGGACGACGTGTCCAGCGATGGCGACGCGCCCACGCCGCCACAGCGTCGTGACGCTCCGACTTACGGTTACGTCTGACGACGTCTTCGGCGACCACAACTCCCCAACGCTAACCCCACGCACCAGAGTGCTGCCTCGGGGCAGAAACTACTTCGCCAGAACCCCAACGTCACCTCTACCTAGAACACCAACATCCCCTCAACCCCGATCCCCATCATCACCTCATCGCAGATGTCCAGGTTCGCCCCTACTAAATCGTGCATCAACTTCCCCTCTCCCTCCTTCCACTAATCGGGGTACAGGAGCCTTACCGATGTCTCCCAGAGGGGCATCTCCTTCCCCTAATTCTCTCAGGGGCACGTCTCAGTGTCCGGTCTCCCCTAGGGGTACATCCCCTTCACCCCTATCTCCTCGAGAATCATCTTCACGGTTTCGATACGACAATGTCACGGGCGGTTCGAAGGGAGCCTCCATAGAAGAAAGGGACGCGTCCCACGCAGGTTCGAGCACCAGCGGCCTCATGAGGAGGTCTTCCCTCCTGACGGTGCCCCTCATGGGGCACGACCCTCCGCCTGACCAGTTCCTGAGAGCCCCCAGGCAGAGGTCCTCTTCCTTGGCGGGCCCCCTCCACAGCCCGGACCTCATCAGGTAATTTCCTTTATTAAATTTACAATAATTTTCTTCTTCATTAGTTGACAATATTACCTCTGGCGCCGCAGTGAAGTGATATTTTAAAGAGTTTTGCTTAATTTGTGGTTTCATTGCAATTCATTATATTGAAGATTAATTAAAAGATTGAGTAACATGCCTATTATATTAATGCTTATTTCAATTTCTGTTTCTTTCAGTTTCCCTTAGTTATTAAATTTTACGTTTTTCGTTGTACGTTTCATGTCGTTTTCGATGAGTGCCTCTAAGAAGATAAAGTTTACGGAACGAGCCCTCAATGGATTGATCTCGACTGGGGTAAGCCTCACTGGGGTAAGCCTCACTGGGGTAAGCCTCCTCACGGGGAAGCCTCACTGGGGTAAGCCTCCTCACGGGGAAGTCTCACCGGGGAAAGCTTCACGAGAGTAAGAGTCACCTTATCCTCATTAGCTTCCCTCTCACAGTTGTCTTCACTCAATAAAAGTTGTCAACAGTTTACCAGAGTTCAGCGCAGCGGCTTTGTGCTGCACGTGGAACCAAACAGCGTGGCGCTGCCCACCCATGAAGATCATTTTACATTAATGTGATCCATTGAGAGCATTTCCCATTGATGTGAATGATAAATTAACCTCCACGCACAATAGAGGCAATATTTACCTTTGTCATAATACATGGCATATGCATTTAATTATCGCTACGTTGTCAGGCCATTGAGTTGCTTTTTATATTCCGGAGCTCTAGATCCGCGCAGGGCTCGATGGTACATGCGAC